TTGATTGATCTTATCAAATGAAGTGTTTCATAGATAAGAATCGAGTTGGAATCGAAATAGGTGTTTCAAGAGTTTTTGGAAGGTACGTAATGGTTTCGAAAGAAAGGTGAGGTCTTGAATGGTGAGAATTGGCTAATCAAAAATAAGCGTTTATTGAGTGTTTGAATGTATCCACAAAAGGGTTCAATCAAAAGAAGTGTTTGGGAAGAAAGAAGGTGAGGTCTTGAACGGTGAGATTGTTGGCTAATCGAAATCAGTGTTGAGACTGTTTGAAAGAAATGAAATCAGTCGGTCCTATCCAAAGAAGAGATTGCAAAAGAAGAAGGTGAGGAGTTGAATGGTGAGATTGTCGGCTGAAGCGCCGTATCAGAATCAATAGAAACTTGAATCCTTGATTCGAAGGGAAGGTTTAGGTTTGCGACAGAAGTGGAGGAGTTGAATGGTGAGATTGTCGGCTGAAGCGCCGTATCAGAATCAGAGTGATGGAAACTTGAAATCTTGATTCGAAGGGAAGGTTTGCAACAGAAGTGGAGGAGTTGAATGGTGAGATTGTCGGCTCAAGGGCCGTATCAGAATCAGAGTGATGGAAACTGGAATTCTTCAATCGAAGGAAAGGTTTACGAAAGAATTGGAAGACTTGAATGGTGAGATTGTCGGCTCAAGCGCCGTAAGACTACTGAATGGGTCTTTTGAATGGTTCTAAAGAAATGGAATCGAAAAGGAATCGAGAAAGTGTTGTGTTGATGAAGGCTTGGGTGAGAAGAGGGTGATAAGAGGAGGGAGATAGCCTGCCTATAGGTCATTTGGCTATCTCGTGGTGGTCATGGGTTGGGGGTTAGACATGGGTAGAGGGTTAGACACGGGTAGGGGGTGAGTCATTGGTTGGGGCAGATTTGAGACGGGGATAAGGGGACCTCGGTCCTTTTCTACGGTTGTGAAGCTGACATGTTCTAGAACATGTCTGTCATGGGTCGAGAGAGAGGCACTTTGACAGTCTTTGACAGGTCTCTCGCGGTCATACCGCGGTTTTATCTGGTCCCGAGTTAAATCCCGGTGCAACACCAAACTGGGAAAATTACCGATAAATTTTTTAGTAGCTGTAAGTACATACCGGTAATTCTGGACCGGCACGAGCATGCTGAAGCTGGCAATATCAATCAAGTCAATCACGCCTCCTCTTCCGTCTGCGTGAGTAGACTTCACATCTAACTGCGTTCGCGTGATGCGCAGCATTTTATCAACGTACTCGCAACCGAACAGTCATTTTATTCGTTGCTTTAAGTCTCAGCTATCAGACACTGTGATTCGTAACGCAAGGATAAGGCGCGCAAGAGGCGCGCATGAGTCCATACTCGCAACGTTGAGGCACACACATTTTGAATATGTATAGAAATGTCTTTCAAGTTTTTCAAATATGATACATTGATGAAATGTGATCTTGATCACCCATGTGAAATATAGATATAATATACATAAATATATACAGAATCTTAACTTATGGTTTACGGAAGATGTTTTTTGCTGTGGTTTAAACTTTGATTTGGGCATTGTACCTGGTTGTTTCAAGTGTAGCTTGACCCTAAAGATTATCAGATAAAAGCAACCAAAAATTAAAAAGGGATTCCTCGATTGAATTGAAAGAGCGAGAATGATTATAACTTACTTTGAAAGGTTCACTACCAGCACCAATAGCAGTCAAGTAATCAGACTCTTTAACTTGGAATTCCTTTATCAACCAAGCTGTAATGAAAGTCAAAGAAAAAAATACATTGAACATCCAATTCTTTCTTCCTGATCATGTATTTTAAATTGACTCACAAAATACTTCCTTAAGATTAGCATTCTTGATGATTTGACAATCTTTTGTAGCCACTAAACTTATCACTCTCCAATCTACATTTTGACCATTAGATTGATATTTGATATCACCAAGATATGCTTCAAGATGACATCCGTTCCATCTAAAGACTTTATCGGTTTTAGTACCAATCGGACCTGCTCCTCCTGCTTTAGATAGCCAAATCATGATCTCATTGGTACTACAGGGTTGAGCCGTTCCACATTTTGCATCTGATGAAGTCCAGATATCATAAGCCTGAAATACGATTCAGATTAGTAAATATTAAAAGTTAGTAGGTTTCTTATCGTTGAGGATTTTTATTGTATCAACTTACCACATTAGCGACGAGATCTTGAGATCTTTCAGCGTATCTCCATTCCCAAGCTGTTGGGATACTTTTGATGGCACCAATCTTTGGAGGGTTAGCAAGACGATAGTCAAGATTTGCGTCTGGTTTGAATGAGGAAAGAAGCGTTTGAAAACTTATAAATCAATACAAAACTTATACATTTGAAGGATTCAGAGTGAGTGAGAACTTACAAGACTTTACTTGGTTCTTATCATTCTCTGTCTTTGGTTTCCAAGAATAAGTTGTACTCCAAGCAACATCAATTCCTTTAAGACCTTTACTTGCAACCTTTTGAAAACTATCAGATGTAGCCTTATCCCCTTAAAAATCAAATGATGTTTATCAGTTTCATATTCTGACATTCTGATTCGCAAGAGAACTTTAAAATCGACTTACCACCCCAAGCATTGACATAAAGCGTGTAGACATCGTTCAATTTTATATTTCCCCATTGCCCCTGTCCGTTTTGATATGATAATACATCAGTAGTGTCTCCTGTTCTTTTTGACAGACGGGAAGATGAAGTCGACTTGGTAAGCGAAGAGATCAATAATAATATATCAAAAACACTGCATTTGAACATCATGATAGATTGATATAAGATAAGATTCCTATATATATTTATTCGGTTTCGTAAATAACTCCAAGGATGATAAAGCGTTATATATACAATTTTTCCTTTTGGAGACTTCTTTGTTAGATTTCCTGAGGATCGAAAGTCACGAAACAACTCTTTATATAGTTTTCACCTCTGCTCTTATCTACGCCTTTTGCGAGAAATCGTCCGTACTGCCATTCAAAGTTTTATTGAAGTCGGATGCTTTGTTTAGAAACACCTAAAGCTCGGGCCTAATAGAACATTTTCAAATTTTTGAGCTTTCCTACAGTGTTAGATAGCCCGATTGCAAGGTTTAAGCGAGATCATTTTACCCCTAAGCACTCTTGATTCTTGAAGCTCGATGAAGGATGGTACACCTCGAACCAGGTGCCTCGAATGAAGACCATCAAGCATGACGATGAAGAAAACTATGGACGAGTGGATGAGATCTCGACAGCTTGATGACTTCGATGATACGACATCACGGAAGTCAAACTTCTTTCGTTCTTCCTTCTCACTTGGCCTCTTGACTTGAGATCAACTCCGCTGTTACAGGTTGGGATGATACAGACCATAACACCACTAAAGTCTTCGCTCAAGCCTCCGATACGTCCGTCAAGAGTGCAGAGGTCGCTTCCCTCACAAGCGGGAAGAGGTGGAGAAACGTTCAAGCTGCAGGACTTCAAGCAAAAGCTCGGCAACCAACCAATGGAACTGTTTCAGAGTAAAGCAACCGTACTTCGGCAATACATCCACCTGAGCCGTGAGGGTATCAGGTCGCGTGTGTGAACAATTCGAGCATTCTGGAGGAGGGTTTTCGACGCAAAGCAAATGTGCGATCCGAGATTTGAGTGATGTCGTGTGTGACAGTCGACTACATACATTACACATACTCGCTCAGGTGACAGGCTGAGGCACGCAAGGAGTCAGGTGACGAACTCCAAAAGTCTGGTGCAAGAGTCAAGATTCAAGAGTCCACATTCGTCCATAGATATTCCTGTTTCTTGCTATTGACTTGTAAAAGGATGCGTTCCGTAGCTATACTCTGGACAAAATCAACAATCAAACACGATAGGAAACAATTGTGCAATCGATGGCGTCAGTCCTGTCGTAACAACCCAGATTCGATAAAGGAAAAATTCTCTCGACGAAGTGGTCGTCTTGATCTTACAACAGAGAAAAAAGATCTCGAGCGACAAGAATCGTAGAAAAATCAAAGCAGTAGAAAAGCAAGCATACTTGCCGGAATGTCTATTGTGCTTTTGGTGAAAGAGGAAGGCACACTTGTTAACCTCTCAATATAGATCAATGGAAGCATCGGAAGATGCGGCAAGGTAAGATGTGAAAAAGGCAAGCATTGAAAAGCTGACCCAACAGCGGGATGAGACACACTGAGGGAATCATATACAAAATGGTCAGAGGCACTGCTTGTCTACATCACTTCGCTTCCAACAACGTTTCCTTCACCAATCCTTCGACTTCAAACTCTCCCAATCTCACCACACCAAAATTAAAATGCCAGAACAATCACCTCAAGCTAACAACAAACTTGTTCCTGGATACCTTCCACTCGAAATCGTATCTATGATTGTAAAATACTTTGCTGCCCAATTGGAGATTATTCCCTCGGATCCGATGAATAGTGCCGACGAACCGTTCATGTACCTTCCTGAAACCAAAAAACTCCTCAATTTGCGCTTGGTTTCTAAAATTTGGGCCCATGTTGTTATTCCTATCGCATTCCATTCAATTCGTTTGATCTCACCACACAGTGTCGACTGTTTACGTAACAACCAGCAAGATTCCATCCTCTACTCAACATTTTCTCCTGTTAAGCGGATGTGTATTGAAAACTTATTCTGGGAGAAATCACATTGGTTGAACTCCGATGGAGAACTCGACGAAGAAAAAGAACTAAAAACCCTGGATCCGCAGTTCCCTTTGGTTTTGAGGGTGTCGGATGTTATTGAATTGTTCGGGATAAAGTTGACTGAGTTGAAATTGAAGTTTCCCGCAAGGATAGGAATTGATTCGGACATGATGTGCGCTATCAAACAAATCAAATGTCTTAAAAAATTAAATATTCACAGTGAGGAATTGCCAGAAGGAAGCTATGCTGACCCAAAATCATTAGCTGAACTACTAAACGCCACTCCGAACCTGGAATCATTATCAATTTACTTTCCTCATCTCGAAGTTTTACAATTAGAACCCCAAGCTCTATCAAAATTGAGACACTTGTGGTTTTGGTACTCTCCGCGCAACATAAAGGGCCTCCATCATCTCATCAAAGCTGCAAAAGATAGTTTAAAAGTGATCGAATATCTAGCATACCACAGACAGGAAGACCCAGGAAAGGCGATCAAACCAATGCACAAAACTCTTGAAAGCCTCTTCATAGATATAATTCCGGACCACATTCCAGATGTTATCAGTAATACCACATTTCCGAGACTCCGTGTTATGAGAAGTATTGAATGGCCTTTGAAAGATTTTGATCTTACTTGGATCCTATGGCCAATATTTTTTCACGTTCGAACTTTGGTTACCAGCTTTGAATGTGGAAGGCCATATTGGAGGTCGGCCTTGGAAAATCTAGGTGAAGATGATCTAACCAGATCACCTAATTTGAAACACATCGTTTTCACATCGCACCCGGATGACGTCATACAACAGGATGAAGCATTGGCAGAAGATTTGAGAATTCACGGGATATATTGTCATTTCATGCCTCAGATGAATTATGAAAGAATCTTGGTACGTTTAACTGATATTGTATCAACTTGATACTCAAAAATGCTAATCTGATTTGACAACATTTCCACCAATTTTGTACTTGATGCACAGGAATTGGACCTCGACCTTAATGGGCCAATGGAATCTAGTTACCAAGATGAGAACTTTATAGATGCTGTAGAAGTTGAAGAGCCCGAAGTTCAGTTTTGAACTTTCCTTGTACTCTTCTTTGTTTGCTTTGGATGTCAATATATCTAATCCATTTTAGTGCCCTGAAAGAGATCACCTTTTTAACTTCTGGAGTCTGAGCAAGAGCCTTTTAAAAATGAGTCAAAAGAGGTCAAAAATCTACTCACATCTGTACCAGATTTCCACAAGGATATGGAGTGAGAACCGTGTTTAACTAGACTATGCATCAAGCTGGGCTCTTGCTATGGGGTCAGCTTGAGTTTAGGATGATCAAAGATGAAATATTAGATTCTGCAACAATGGGTGAGAAATTCCATCAATTCGTAAGAGTCGCATTAGTTGTCTTAACCTTCATAGCAGCGTACTCAGGAGGCTTGATTAAATTTTGTATCATTGGTCTTCTCAACGTATTTGTCTCTTCGATGTTAGAGTATAACATCACAACAGGGTTCCTTGTACTCAACTGAATTGTAAACAGGCCGCTAGTGTAAATTCGATAGCATCAAAGTCTTCACAAAAAAGTGTTCGCTGCTTCCTAAAGAAATAAGTTAGAAGATATCAAGAGTCCTACACTGACAGAAGAAAAAACATCTCTGACTTCCGGAAAAAGAAAATCAATAGAAAAGCAGGCATGTGTAATTCCGGAACTTCGTTCCTTTTGTTTCCTTTCTCATTTATCTTTTACTTTTGTTAAAACGCTTTTAGAAAAGCCATAAAGACTTTCCTATACGCGTTCTTTCCTTTCTCATCTTTGTAAACAATTATAAAACCTTGTTTCCTAATTAGGGATTGATGTTTAAATCCCTCGACTCATATCTTTTCCAAACTCGGATTCTCAAAGCTGAATCCTCACGTTGTAAATACCATACGTTGTATTTCCTTTTACGGATTGTAGTGTTTTTCGAAAACACTTATAAGCGGATCCATTTCTCACCGAAATGAATCCTCAAGTAACTTCACTTACAATTTCTAAAGCACTTGAAACCTGTAAGAATCACAAATAATTATTTGTGTGTTTTATTTTGTTATAAGTTTTTTAGAGTCTAACAAAATTCCCTATTCTCTTATTTCTTATCTTCGATAAAGTGAAATCACTTTCAGACCTTCAAAGAAAAGAACCTAGTCACCTTTCGAAAATCCAGAAGAATAGATTTTTATTAGCCTCATCGTTTTAGAACAAAGCAACTTTTTTTTAACACGTGAATAAGTTTTCCACTCTCTCACGCGTCATATCAGTTTCTTTGGACCTTAGTCCTTCTTAATCCCTGATCAGTTTTAAAATCGACTTACGGTTGTTAAACCCTCGTTTATAACAGAAACACCAAAAGAGAAAATTCGAAGAGATGTCATCCCCAATGATGAACAGTACTGACGGCCGAATTCCCGTCCAACAAGACGACATGGATCGAGTCGATATGTCGTTTCAACAACAAGCTCAAAGACTAGCGGAATTAGAGAACGCAGTCGGTCAACAGACACATCAACACGAGCGAATTACCAACGAATTGGTAAGTGCACTAAATACCATAAGAGAATTACAAACTGAAATATATAATTTAAAAAATGTACGTACCAACCGACAGGAGCCCAGGATAGAAGCGCTAAAGGTGGAACCTCGCAAGTTCACCGGTTACGGTGATAATCCCGACCTTTGGATCACCGAAATTGAGACGAACTTTTCGTCTCGCAATTACCCAGTCACGCGATGGACTGAGCTAATCATAAACTTCCTCGACGAGGACGCCAGATACTTTTGGCATGAATTAGTGAAGAAACAAGATGGTCAGATTCCATCATGGATGGTTTTTAAGACCAAATTCTTTGAAAATTATAATTATTCCTTAGTGTTATACGAAGTTCGACAACAACTTAAAGCCCTATATTATAAATCTGACATCAATGATTATATCCTCAGATTTAGGAAACTAGCTGTCAAGATCCCAGACAAAAAGTTACCTTTCTTCGAAAGACGATTCTTGTTCCAAGATAAATTACCCGCTAGTTATCAACAAGACCTGAATAAGGTTGATCTAACCAATGAGGACATGGAGGTACTTTACCAGGCTGCTCGAGACTGTGAAAGAAATAATAAACTGACACGCACTGGTTTAAATTCTAATCACTCCTCCAATCATCATAAAAATAACCACCACCATCATCGTAACAACTTCAAGAACCATAACAATTATGGAAAACCACATGCTACCACCGCTACCACGTCCATGAGCGCTCCGATGGACCTGGATAACTTGGATATCTCAAAGGTAGAATGTTTTAAATGTCATAAGTTCGGACATCGAGCTCGAGAGTGTAGATCGTCTAATAAGACTAACAGACGACCAAATCTCACAATGGTGGATTTGACCCCGGATTCTGAATCACAGGATGACCCCGAGACCACCAATGAACCCATGGATCTAGCAGTTGTAGATATCCCACCTGAAGACAATCCCGTGTCTTCAGTAGAATCGGCCTACAACATCATGGGAAAACTCGAACCGGATCCTCGAAAGGAGTTTACGCCAAGACTTATATTCGCGATGAGATTCAAGGAAGAAGTTGGGACGAATCTGTCACCGAGCTAAGAAAGTGGCATAAAGAATACAAACAAATCATAGTAGACACTACAGAGATAGGTGATAAAAGATACCGTATTGCAAAAGAAGCTGAATGGACCTTCATGAAGCTGGCAAATCGTGATCATTACAATTATGCCAATACTGCCAAAGCTATGGAACATGAAACAGAATATAACTTAACACAGAAAAAGAAAATATATAACTTAAATGAATATCGAGAAAGAATCCTACAAGCTCTATATAAAATGCAGAACGCTCCCTCAGATCCGATAGATGTTCAAAACAACAAGAAAGTTTTTGAAGAAAAATATCAAGAATGGAAGCAACATCTTTTAGAGAAATACAAAAACAAACCCAGGTGTTGTGAGTCTTGCCGACTATTTGGATGTGAAGATAGTCCAGAACCAGAAACTAACATAGATGAACGTGCAAAATCAGCTCCAAAAGAACCAACAGAAGTCTTAATTCTCCCAGCGCATGATCCTGACGGAAAGAATGCTTTGTATTTCACGGATCTCGAAAACATCATAAATGAGGAGGATCAAGATATAGTAATGGACAACACACTGATCGACGGTTTCTCTTTCACCAAAACCCCTTTCAATTCCCCTCTTATAGGTCCACAGACTAGTATCTCCCCGGCAATGCCTGAAGCGTCCCGCCGCAAAAAGCGAGAGGGGAGCGGCAGGGGAGCGGGACGCTCCGCCTGCGCTTCCCCGGGTCCGTTGTAGCGGGGTTTTTCGCCCCGTCCGCGCTTCCCGGGGTTTTTCTTTGTTGTAGTGGAGCGCGGCATTAGTGGGGCGGTTAGAAACTCTCGCCCCGCTCCATTATGCAGGCTGTCAGATCTAACATGTAGCGGTTTCGAGGTATACTTCAAGATATCAGCCAACCGATTCCTTTCCGACCGATCCTTTGCCGCCATACGTCGATTCCTTTAAGATATCGTATGATATCGTATATCCGCAGATATACAATATCTGATCTGACCTTCGAAAAGAGTCTAATCCCAGCCACAATCAAATGTTCATCTCATAAAAGATACCGCCAACCACCAAAAATCGTACGTTCTTCTCTTCACTCGACCATTTTTGACTCTTTTCTTGCCTCCACTGACATCTTGATTATCTCACATCAATACCTGAATCAACACTTAGGTCCTTCAAGAATCAACGTGACACCAGCACTGTTTACGGTGGGGCTGGCTGTCTCAAAATGGGGGCCATGGGTCACTCGATGACGCTGAAAGAAATCTTCATCCTGGATCCGACTTATAAGGTATGTCGACTCTTGTTCAGTTCATATTCAGTCTCGCCAATCTTCCCATTTCAAGAATTCTGCTAAGATTGTACCCAAAAAATTCTAATATTTTATATATTTAATTTTCCTGTTTTAGACTTTCCAACCGTTTGAATTTTTTGTTCAATCACTAAACAACTCGATCATGCGCCCTCCATCCTCCTCGCTTGCTCCTCCTGCTGCTACTAGTATCGCTCCCACTAGTACGGGCCCCACCCTTTGTCCAAGAACCCCTACTCAACCTAGACCTGGATTTGTTCCCCAATCACCTGATCTACGAGTCTCTTCTGTTCGCCCGTCTCCAGTACCTGAAACGGCCGAGTCCGACAATCAAGACATCTATGAAGTTTCTAGTGGCCAATCTGACACCAGCGATGGGATTGGTAGTCAAGAAGTCATTGAGATTGAATCTGACGAGTCCGACACAAGGTCCTTACCGGATCCTTCCTCACGAAAGAAGACCACCCGTAAGTTTCGACCAAAGGTTCATGTGGTCAAAAGTCGAGGCCGTCCACGTGGTTCTGGTGCCTCAATCACCTTAACTCGCCCCCCTTCCAAGAAGTCCAGGAAAGGACGACTTCAGGTAAGCTTAATCACATTTTCCTCGCAGCTCCAATCACTGACGCTAATCTTTGATTGAATGTAGGCCACAGTTCCTGATGTGATCGATGTGGATCAAGACTCAGACGTTGAGATCGTCCAGTCGCCCGGTGTTCGACGTGCTCAGCTCAAACGTGTCAGCAACTTGTTGGGGTATTACCATCCCCCAACTCATGTCAAAGGCGAGGTAAGCCGTCCTTTTCACTCATCCATTCCCTTTCCTCACTTTTCTCTTGTGTTTATTCTTTTCTATTACTTCTTCATTGTAGAAAGGAGACGACCCTCGAAGCTACAAATGCCAAATGTGTGCCGGAGTCTACATCTGTGGAGCTCGTAGTCACTACAATTTGTACGCACATCGTGACGGAGCCAAAGGTTGAGCGGCGTGTCCCCGAAGAGCTCGTGCCATTCAAGCTGGCTTCGAGTTGCCAAAGACTTGGGCTGAAGAACAAGCTGATAACGCTCAAGACCTGAACGAAGCCAACGGACAATCGACTCTAGATGTTTTTCTGTCTCAACCCACCTTCAATGTTGACATGTGCAACATTGTACTTATTATCTGGATTTTATGGCATGCACTGCCATTCAATCGGTTCTATGATGGTCCTTTAAGAGCCGCATTCAAGCTAGCTAATCGACGAGCGGATTTGAGGACCCCAACCTGGGCCGCAGGTATTGCAAAGGATCTGTATCTCAACCTGAGCTCGGCTGCTATAGATTTAGTATTGGTAAGCTTCACCTTCATTTCGCTTTACTTATTCCAATTGTTCCATTTCTTTATACTCTTTCATACAACTGATTTACTGACATGTGCATTTACATCTGTTCATAGGTTAATGCAGGAAAGTTCTCTCTCGTCCATGATGTCTGGACTACGAAAGGTAATAGATATGCATTTATTGGAGTATCAGCCAATTTCATCGATGAGAATTGGAAATACCAATTGGTTCACCTCACTCTCAAAATGGTTGCTTGGAACAAGATGGGATTCTTGCTTGCTCGACCAGTTGGTCAATTCTTGATCAACAACGGCCTTCACGCTAAGATAAGTACTGTTTTTGTACCTCTTACATCATACAAGTAACTAATTCAAAGATTGAACCCTTACATGCTAGCTCAAACAACCGACTCGGGATCCAACAATAACACGATGGCTAAAGAGATGGAGCATATGTTTGCTGAATCCAATGAGAAAGTCGAATGGGATTCTTCTAAGAATCACGTCCGATGCTATGCTCATAAGCTCGGACTTGTGGTTAAGCATGGTTTGAATTCAATCGGTTTAGCTGCAGGTCACATCAAACCAACTACTCCTCCCAACACCACCATCCCAATCCCCTCGATCGTCCTCAACGAAGACATGACCGAATTGGTTGGGTCTGATGATTCAGACGATGATTTTTATGTTTCACCCTCATCGAATCCTCATGTTGACTCCACTTCAGATGTCGAAGATGGTCCCAACTATGATTATGTCTCTTCTAGCCCGTGTGTTGTGGTTCAGGGAGCCACCAAGGTATGTGGTTTTTCAATTGATTTTCTTCACCTTGATCTCATTCAAAGCTGACTGATTGATTGACCTAAACACCAGCTCAAAGATATCAATGCCCTTTTAACTCAAAGCAATGCCCGGCGTGGAGAATTCGCAGCTCGGGCGGCACAGATGGGATATGAAGGTCCTGCTCCGATTGCAGGATGGGGTGTAAGGTGGAACATTGACCTAGCAATGTTCTCAAACTTGGTCGCTGGTCGTGATGTGAGTCTCTCTGCTCAATCTTTTTTTGATCATTTCATTAATTTTTTGTTTAAATTTTTCGCCTTATAGGTGATTGATTCAATCCTCATCGCCGATCGAAAGACCAGGTACTATCAAGGTGCCATGATGTCTATGGAGGAATGGGATGCCGTCGATGAGTTGTGCAAAATTTTAAAAGTAAGTGTTCCATCTCTGGTATTAAGAACAAGAAACCAATTGCTAAACTAACCCATCTCCTATATGGCTATGTGTAGATATTCCACTTCTCCACCAAACAGATGGAGGGTGACTTTTCATCTGGATCAGTCCTTCTGGCTGAGTACCTGCGTGTTACCGAAGTCCTTCACGAATTACGTGATGCCTCCAACTTCCCGAGCTTGATCAACATGATTGATACCATGCTGGTCAAGCTGGCTGTTTATCAAGAGGAGGCTGCCTTGTTGGACGTAATTGTACTGGCTACCGTTATGAACCCGAAGTATTGACTTAAATTCTTTGATCTCCACTATCCCAAACACTCCGAGACCGCAAGAGAACTCATAGAACGTAAATTTCAAGACTCATTGGCCGGTTGGCCTGTCACCCCTCCTTCAACGCCTCCTCCCGTTCCCGCCACCGGCAATCCCTTTGATCACTTTGACATCTTCACCTCCTCTGCTACCCATCAATCTTCTGAATCAATCCGATCGGCTGAGCTCAAGGTTTATCTACAAGGGACTGTTCCGATCACTCCAGGCCAATCCGAGCTCACTTGGTGGAAGGTGAGATTGGTATTACTTCTCGTTTCCTTAATTTTCTATATTAATTCTTTGTTTCCCTCTCTCAGGACAATGCCGAATGATTCCCTGTTTTAGCAAGCCTGGCCCAGGATTATCTTTCGATATCAGCTACCTCGTGCTGTGTGGAACGTACATTCTCTTCAGCAGCCGACATCGCCGTACCTGCACGTGGATCTTTAAAACCTAAGACCATATCTCGTGCTGTAGGGTGCAGACAATGGCTGCAAGCTCACATCCCCGTGATCGGCCGATTTGCCGATGCAATTGCTTATGTTACTTCCTTTGCAGCTAACATGAAGAAGAAAAAGAAGGACTTATAGATTTATTCTTGTATATTATACAATTTAAACCACTCATTGGTAATTCTTGATATCACTTTCTATTGTTTCTCTTCTCATCTTATTTTAGTTTTATGTTGGGTTCTATTCCTCTTCTGTTCAGCCAGCTGTGGCTTATGCTTGAGTGCCCTCAAGTTTATGTTTGCTTTTTCCCTTCCTATTTTGTTTGTCTGGTTATGTGTCCGTACTTACACACGTTTAATTAAAGTCCTATTTTTGATTTGTGTCTGGCAAGATAAAAGGTTGTCTGTTTTGTTTTCTGCTTCTATCGCTGTTTGTGTATTTATTTCTTCTGTGTGCATATTAATATAAAAAAAAATTGTGAATAGTACATCCTGCCCGCTGTGAGGACCAGAAAAACAAAGTAGCGGGGCGCGAGCGGGTCTGGGAGTCGCGGCGCTGCATAGGTTATGAAGCGGGTCTTTTTTTAGAGCGGATCGAAAGCGATTGAGACTGTAGCGGGTCTTCGAACCGTTACAAAAAAAAAAGGAATTAGCGGAGCGCTTCAGCTATTGTCCCCGGATAAAGAGTTAGAAAGTGTGGAAGCGTGGAATAAAATATACTCCCTGTGTAAGAAGAGATCCAACGATCACTTGGACTCAAAAGAAGATGAAGAAGAACCAGTTTTTCTAGACTTACATTTGGTGGACGACCTGAACAACGTGACGAGTTCGTCTACTCTACCTTTATACACTTTTTTCACTAGCTCTAACTCCCCTTTACGCACAATCCTAGATACTGGAGCTGCTGCAAATTACATCTCTAGGGATAGAGCCTTGGAAATCTTAAAAAACGACCTGAAAACTAAGGTAATCGACGAACCTAAACGCCAAGTCCGTTTAGCAAATGGGTCCACTGAGGACTGTGGACGTAAGATAGAATTTTTTATATCAGTGTCCGGCTTCAGGATGAAAATTAGCGCATATTGTCTAACCTTACCTCATATTGATTTAATCTTAGGACTACCCTGGTTTCAAGAGTACAAACCAGTCCCAGATTTTTCAACAGGAATCTACTCGCTTTCCTCAAAACCAACAACTTTAGACATCCGCCCTAACAAGAAATCAAGAGAGTCGAGCGTAAATACAATTGAAAAATTGTCCCCTCAGGAACAAATCAAAAGACTGGCTGAATCTACGGCACCAGACTGTTTTGCCGAAAACATTACTGTTGGAGCCAACACCACCTGCACTCACACAATCGACACAGGGGACGCGAGACCAATCAAAGCGCACGGCAGACCACACTCACCACCTGAACATGCAGTGATCAATCAGTTTGTGGAGGAAGGTCTAAGAGAAGGTATTATTGAGAAGTCTTCTTCTCCATGGTCCTTCCCAATTGTACTAGTCAAAAAAGCTGATGGATCAACTCGCGTGTGTATTGATTATCGAAAACTCAACAACGTCACAATCAAAAACGCCTATCCGTTACCACGAATAGACGAAGTATACCAGTTTCTTAGCAACGCGAATTGGTTCAGCACTATGGATCTAAAGAGTGGATTCTGGCAGGTACCAATGGACCCACGGGACAAACTCAAGACTGCTTTCACTTGTCGAGCAGGACACTTTCAGTGGAAGGTAATGCCCTT